AACTTGGCTATGAAGACTTAACGACTTACAGATGATGTATATGGAAACTTCTCATCTCCAAGACTCCAACAAAGGTGACAGAATTTATACATTCACAGTTTTTACTAGACTTATGCATTTCAAAACAATCGGATCATCTAGGTGGCAATAAGTCGCGCACAGGATTCCTAGAAAACAATGCTTTCTTCTCCATTTCTATTCGAAAGCTGATTTGACATTGTTTGAAGAAGAACTCTTGAGCTTCTGTCAGAGCTCATAGAAAATTCCGTGTCATTTGTAAATGGTGTTAAGAGCTGATAAAATACTCCCGAACCCTATTTTCACCTGCTCGGATGCTCGAAAAAATGCGGAAACTCCTATATAATTCCGTTTAGTGTTGATTTTGTCTCTATGAACTACTTTAAAGACTCAAAAATAATCTGCTGATCAAAACGTTTCATGAACAGGGCTCGGCACAGCTGGCTTATAAGCAAGCTAGATATCGTCTTTAGGACAAAAAGTAAGGGATATTCTTTTTGTGAGTCCGCAGGTGTTTGTAATCGACGCTTCGTCTTTCTAGTCGATTCGTATATTTCGGATAAGGGTCGAAGGGACTTCGTAAAATTTTGCGAAAGTCAGGAGACTTCGCTTGCATTTTCGAAAAGCACCTTGTGCCCCCTGTTTATGAATAGTTGATTTCGATTTTCCGATACACAGAATAACATTTCTGAAATCAAATTTTGACAAAATCTTTCAACCAAAACAAAAGCGCCCAACTCAGAAGAGGTCTAACGATTATGTCCCCAAAAATAAGTCTCTTTTCTTTATAATTCTTCTTGTATTGCGGTTAACAATTCAACTCATTTTGCTAAAAGTAGTGCTACCGCGCAATTTGGGGCGTTTTCAACTCTGTCGAATTATTCTCTTGTGTAAAAAACAATAAGTTGCATTGAAACTGTCAATATCTGAGAATTATGTGTAATTTATTCACATGAAAGAAGTCATAAGCTCTTTCTTCAAACTCTGAAACAGTTTTTCAGACCAGGGAGACCTAGACAGTATCGAGACGCCCCTAAATTGTCACTTCCATTCAACCCTAAAGCGTGCCAGGAGTCATGTCAATGTCATTAATGATGATCACATCGAATCAACGTCGCACTCAAGGTGCCCATATCTCATCTGTTCTCTGCCAAAGGCATGGGCATGCCAATAATTGCATATTATTGCTCAAGAGTATCGTATTTCACATGCCCACACTTTCAATAGCTCTGATGGCTTGACTGGCTAAGTATATCTCATTTCTGCTGATTTTTCTGTCGTAAGTAGCAAGTTTTTAAATAGATCCTTAGTAGTGGTGTATCTTGTTTATAAATCAATTTATTATTCAAAGAGACTATGCGGGCGCTTTTTCTGGCCGCGCTAGCTATCTCTTTGGATGTATTACTTTTCTGAAATAAATGTTGAATCTACGCTAAAACTGTGCTTCCCACAGCTATGCCGGACGCTGAAGAATAAATCGGAAATGTTGTACACATACCATTATTCGTCGAGAATATTATATGTGCCGCCTATGCTAAATACAATGCATTCCTGTAGAATTTCTATGACTCATTTGGTATTTATAACCACTAAACGCATAGCAACAATGGAAATGTCGCTATCAAATTCCTCAGCGTACTGTTCGCAAAATGTTGGAATTTTATATACAAATTGCGACAGGAGGCTAGAAAAGCTACGAAAGCCGCCCCAAAACGGACTGATAAGGCATTTGAAATACTAGTATGGTCAAGAGATTGCCACAAGCAATGACAGCGCCAGTACGGCTTAAGCGAGATTTTTTGATACTGACATCTGAATTCTAGGGCCTCTTAAATGTGGAGGTACCCGTTTGGAATTATCCTTTATTTTGTACTTTTTATTCTTTGATTTTGAGCTATCGAACGGTTTACATACGATAATGACTCAGTACTTTTGCTGCCGCCATTACCCAAGCCCTTTCCACTTTTCATTCTGCAGATATTTCCCATTTTGATTATTGTGTGCTGCATAATGTTTGCCCTTTAATGGAAAGGCATAATTTTTCTAGCCTGACCTTTTCCATTGGGAAATAATATCCTTTTTTGAGTGAATTTCGCCAAGCTCATCGTCTGCTTGATGGATGGGCAAATCTTCGCGTATTAATTTACCCTTTACCGTGGACTATGTGGTCCTCTAAATTGCTGCAATTCTTCGATTTTTTCGCTTATGAATTTTTTGCTACTTACTTATGAAACGCAAAAATGTGATGGCTACAAAAAAAACAGGTGGAGTCATCAGGAAGCAGCCGACATTAGACTTTTACATTGTTTATGGGAAAACAATTTGGTAGATCAAGATCATGAAGATTGGTAGATCAAATCATCAGGATCAAAATTGTTATGGCATCCACCTCCGTGATCTCCCGATCGTCTGATCGTGAATCAATACGTCACCACCAAAAAACCATGAATTTCCAGATCGTTGATCACGGAATGGCCGGGTGCGCAGGATGCGGCCACCCTACTGTCGTCCTCTGATTGCCTAGCCATTCGCGAACCCGCCGCTCAGTCTCCCTCCTCTCTGCCCCCCCCCCCTCCCCGTGCTTAGCAGATGACCCCGTCTATGCCCCCACCCCCGCCAGCGCTATTTCGCCACCGTCGAGCCCCACGCCACGATTCAAATTCTGCTGCAATTCAAATGCGTCCGACAGATTCGTTCGTGATCGCGGCTTGCCACCAGTTACCCTGAATTTTTCGATCGCTGCGTTTTTTGAGGCAGAGTCGCCTTAATCTCAATATTTTGTCCATGTTTTCCTTCTGATTTTTTTGAATTTTTCATACATTAGTTCTTTTCTTTTCCTTTTTTCTTTTTCGGACTTTAATGACGCGGCACGGATATGCTCCACTTTGGCTGAAAGACTTCATCGTTTTAATGTTTTCATCTTCATAACGGTGATTGCAAAGCGTTTTTTCCCTTAGGGATCTTTTTTCTTTCTTATAAGTGCTGCCTCTCCCATCTCATTCATGAAAGTTTATTAGGCAAATAATGAAGTTTTATGGCACTTAATGGTAACTTGATTATTTGTTTCTAAAATCGGCGCTTCGAGAACCTCAAAAAGCTTGATATTTACGACGCCTTTAGTTCTAAACCTCTGCATCTATGCTATCATCTTTTTTTGATATTCATTTATTCACTCAAATAATAATTGCTCTATTTTACAGTTTTGTCGAAATTCAAGTTTCATTTTCTCGCTATGGATCACAAGCTTCTCATTATGCTACCGACTGCTCATTATACCTATACTTATTCGTTCTCGCATAATGAAGAACTTCTCATTTTTTCAAACATTTTTCGCAAGTTCCTCGACCAAGCAATCTACCAATACCTTGGTAGTAATTGCTATATTCTCAATATGCAATTTTAGGTTGGAACCTAGAAGTAAAAATTCTGAGCATACCATCTTTTCGAACGCCAATAGAATGATGAAAAGATATAGATGACAGTAGAGCGTGCTAGGAAAAATTGTTTGAATTTCAAGTATTAAGTCCATTTTTGTACTCTCTGCAATATTGCTAGCATTTGCAACACGTCCATTATCTTCCTCTCTATTTTTTGCTCCAAACTGACATGCTCTCAACGTTTTTAGTGAGTCCTTAGTATCTGTGATTGGCGTAATTCTTGCGCAAGTTCTGCCCGTCGTCGTGTCACTGCCGTTTGCCATTAGCATCGTTTGTAGCCTAACTTGTCCGTTTGTTACGAGCGAGCGTTTGAGTAGAATACGATAATCAAATTGATCGATAACACTGGGAAGTTCTTCTTATTCTTTGCTTTCTTAAATTTTCAGTTTTCCGATGTCTTTCTTGGTCTGTACGAAAAATGAAATTTACGAGGTAGAGATCCTCATTTTCATCTTTACAAGAAAGCAAAATCGTCTTAGAAAGTGCTTGCTCATGCTAATGCTCGAAGTTTGCAAAAAAAACAGAATTTCTTTTTCCACGGGTTTTCAAACTTCAAAAAAATTCGGAAAACTTAACCCCCCCCCCCAAAAAAAAACTCAAATTCTGCGCATTTTGGAGAACTCATAATCATGTATATCACGTCCAAACCCAGCATGTGTACTGCACACCAGGCGCGGTATTCTACGGCCTGTGTACTTGTAAATTATTAATTTCTATGGTATTCTTATTGTTATCATTTTTTCATTTGTAAATAGATGCAAAGACGTTATATCAAAATAGACGACTTTCAGTGTCTGTGGTGCGAACATGAAGTCGTGGGATGCTGTGCATGGTGTGCAGTTACGCACATAAGATTGCATATGCCTATACTATGATGTTTCCTCACCTACTTCTTGCACAAAATCCTTCACTTCTTTCTCTTCGGAAGCTTTCTTTTTCTTTTTTCTTTCTGTTAGGATTGAATTTAATATCATTTTCAATGGGCATTTTTTCCTTTCCCCAGCAATTTTGCCCATTTAATGCACCAGTCGGCAAGTTGTATGGCTGTGTGTCTTCGGACGCGAGTCAGACCCTGATTGCTTGCGAGTTTCGAATTGTAAAGAAAATGTCATCTTTCGTTTATGTCCCGACGCGCAGTAATTGCGATTTGGCGCCATTCGACGTCCGTTCGAGTATTCAAAGTCAAGAGAGCCCGTACAAAGGACTTTTCTTTTTTCCTAGGCACTTGTCTTATTGGGAGCGTTTAGGAATGAGGGAGTAGGTGCCGACGTTCATTGAGATTGGAAATTTTGTTGAAAGGCTGCCTGGTCGAAGTTCTAGAATTTTCGTACCATTTTCACCAAATCTCTATGCGAATTGTCAATTCCCAATATCGAATTACCCCCTTTGCCCTCTTTTTTTTTTCAAATTTCAGGCTCATTAGAACAATAAATAATCCAACTTTGCTTATTTGTTACTTTACTTTCTGATATTTTCGCTCGAATATCAGTTTCAATCTGGTAAATGTTTCGCCAGGTTTTGACAAAATTTCCTATGCATTCCAGTTTCTGCAATTAGAGCTTGTCTGCTAACTGTCACGGCTTCGAATTTCTCAATTTTTTCAAACGCATGCGAGTTTTTACTGTCTTTAGTAAAATGACACCTCCTTATCTTAATGGCATCATTTATGAGGGCGCTCAACGCTTCTACGACATTGGCTTGGCTTCTAATTCAAATTTTGTATTTCCCAAGCTGGTCTCACAGATATCGAAATTCATCAGAGCAAAATTCAAACAAAGAAGGGGGGGGGGGGAGGGGACAAAAATCTTCCGAATACATACGAATGCCATTCTTACTATGGGTAAGCTCAGGCCAGTTGAGGGTACGTAAAAGTGCAGAAAGCGTTCCCTATTCGGCTCACTGATATATCATGTGAAGCATTGAGAAGGTGGGTGGAGCTTCGCAAAGTAGGTTGAGATTGCCGCAAAATTTTAATCATTTGAAGATTGGAGTTCTCCTGTGTAGGTTTAGTCAAACAGTCATAGTAATCTTTGCAGTTCAGAGTGTACCGAATTTTTGATACTATGCTATGCACCGAATCTATCACTGTTATGACATTTGAAACATTTACAATGTGGGCGGGGCTTTACGAAGGGGGCGGAGTTTGCTACAGTGCAAAATCGATTATTTTGAAAGATTTTTACAATGTGGGCGGGGCTTTACGAAGGGGGCGGAGTTTGCTACAGTGCAAAATCGATTATTTTGAAAGATTTTCTTTTTTGTATAGTCATTCTAAGGTTCTCAGTTTTCATAACATTCATTATTTTTGATCTAACTTTGTCAATTTCTGTCTTTTTGAGCAGAGGCACAAGAGCTCAAATATGAAAATCTCTGAGTGAGCTTGATCATGGTTAATCACCTGGCCAGACAGCAGAATGACGAAGTACAGGGAAAATCACACACACTGGCTCCATTTCGTCTGACAGACTATTTTGCACTTTTTCTTGGCCCTTTCGCTTACAAAAGTGCAACAGCCAAATTCGTAAACCTTTGCTCCTGCTTGCTTATCGCTGCCAGTGGTCGCTTCTGTTGGTATGTGCACTAGCTGAGCTATTGTATTCTCTAGTTACTGTCCGGATTATGCGACGGCTGATCCGAAGTGATTGATGGTTCGGCTGCTGCTGTGTCACTCCGCCTTTCATTACTCTCGCGTCGGTACCATCTCCTGTACGGGACTCCCTCGACCATTCCCTTCGTCAACCCAATGGCAGATGCACCTAATTATATATGAGAAACTTGAGGCTACGCCAACAGCTCCTCGCACTCACGTAATTTACGATCTGCGAGTGCCAGCAAGTTTGAAGGGCACTATAGTCGCACCAGGTGGTGACCCCCTTCACCCAGAATAACTGTTCGCATACTGAACTGTTGTGCTACTCTAAATCACATTAGGGTTTCATTTTTTTGCGCAGGTCCCGAAGAGATTCTGTTGCTTTCATAGGAAATTTCGATAAATTTTCATCTCTTTTCAGTCGTCATTAACTTTTTGCCTCAGAAAGTTTTGACTCCGCGTATAGAAGAATCCATTTCTGCGAGTAAGCTTTGAAGGCATTCAATATTAATTTGGAGCTGGAGTACACCCAAAAGTCTGAACCATGAAATTTTATGTGAAGGGCGAAGCCTTCGCTGCAAAATTGCTGACATCTGACGCCCTAAACTCAACTGACTATCCATTTTTGCTCATTTATTTGTTTGTTTATCTCATTGAAGTCCAGCTATGACAAAATCAACGAAAAATTACATTTTTCCGAAATTTGACGCTTTTTTGAAATCTCACTTTTTAAGCATTTGATTAGAAATTTGACCACTTTGTATTTTGCGATTATTCACTGCATAATAATTTTAGATCCAAATAATTTGGCGTCCAACTTTATGAGCCATCTTTTTCGTAGCTCTTCTATATCTTAATTACAAGGTTTTTATGGACTAAATTTTTTTAGTCTACTAATTTACACATGATTATCGAAGTTAAAGTAAACTCTATAGCATTTCAGTCCAACTTCTCATCTTTTCGCCTATCTTTGGCATCTGAAAAATCTCTCCATCGACGAAATCGGCAGTAAGATCTGCTAACTGATCTGAAAGCGATGTGCGTACATTTTTTTCATATTCTTGTCTGCTAATCTAAATTTTCAAATACTCGATATTTTTAATTTCCTCCTCAGTGTAAAAATTCAAGAAGCTGTGAACTCGTCTTCGTGCTTGTTCTCTTGAAACTACGTGTCAAATTTTCAAAAAAAAAATTTTTTTTGGAAGCCTAGTAAATTTGGAGAGAGCGGCTAATACTATTTCCTTCCATTTGCCAAAATTTTCTTCGCTTTCACAAAAATATTTTGGCTGCGCGAATGTTGTTCAGTGAATCACATCCGCTAAATGTCATTCTGTTTTCTGATTTGTCATAGCAAAACCTTTGGTCATTCTTATGCTGACGCATTCGTGCTACACTTCGTAATTCTTGTTTTCTACTTTTATCGTTTTTTTTGACCCACCATGAATTTCTTTGAAAATTTCCGAAATTTAATGTGTTAGTGCGCTTTTCTTCCGGTGTGATCTAACTCGACTTTCTAGTCACTCGTAACGCTTTGCTCATTTGAAACAGACTTGTCGATTTTAAGCTAACAGCCTGACAATAATACCTTTAATGAATAGTTTACGCTCGGTCGAGTGTCATAGAGCAGATGTTCGTCATGTCACGTCTGCTGCAGCTATTGTCTTACGCGACTCTGCATAATCATTTCCGTTTGCCCTTTATTTACTAGCTGTTCCCTTTTTCAAATGGGCTATACAAATTGATGATTCGAGCTGTACATGTAAGAAGAATTTTTACTTCATTGCTATACCTAAAAAACGAGCAATTGCTTAATTGTTCGAGGTGATTTAATTCTTACGAAACTCACTTGTTCTTACCATTCACGGATGGATTATATATGGTTTTTTATTTACTGGCTATTTAAAATTTTTTCATTTTTTTATTAGCTTTGCTTACTAGCTGTCCCTTTTTCGTCAGGTCAAGGAAAATAATTCGAAGCTGTAATGATAAAAAAATTAACTTTTACTTCTTCACCTGCAAAAATTGTCCTTTGTCCAAAAATTTCACAGAATTGATTTGGATTCCATGAGAACTCCAAACTGCTCTGATCATTTATGATCGAAAACAGTTATTTGCCTAGTTCTGTATCTTACATAAGTCACTTTCGATTTTGCAACCCATAACCCGTTATCAGCAGATTCCCCCCCCCCCTCCCCCCCATGTTCCGCCTATGGTACCACTAATAAGCTCAATGTTTCATGTGTTGAAAAATATCTGCAGATATTTATCAGTGTACAAAATCTCTGGCCTCTGCCAGAATCTTGGGATGTTTGGAATTTTTTTTACTATGCCATTTTGAATTTTCAGATTTTCAAAATTTGTTTTTCAATCATTCCAAGTGAGAAGAGTCACTTCCGCAATTTTTTAGACCAGGCTAAAAAAATTTCTCTACCATTCCCCGACATATGTCCGCCAGTGATCTTGCCAGAACTTTATGAATTCAGGGAAGTGATATTCTTCCCCACTTTTCCAATTTAGATTTTGTAATTTCTTCCTGCAATGACTGCCATCTTTCTTCCATGTCACCCCAAAAAAGCTGTTTGTACTCTTCTGTTTGGTCACCAGTTTTGCCCCTGTAGTATGGCTCGACCTTCAATGGACCGAGGATCCCGCTGAGAACGTTGAGAGCCTCCTACCTGACCGCTACTTAACGTGCTCACTGACCTAAACGAACAAACGAGCTAAGCAGATTGCGTGGGTGGGGAGTAGAGCTAGGTCGAATATTGATTTTGGTGATTTTTGTGTGGGGGTCCATACAGTAAGTTGGGCGGGATGAAAGTCCATTCTTCAGTAGATCAACATCGGTGACGTTTGATTATCGTAATTTTTTAATTGTTTTTATCAAGCTCAGCCATTTGATCATCTCCGATTGTTTTCACTGCTACCAGTCCTTCTAGTTTGACTGAATAACAATTTCACCCCTGTAACTCCGCCATAACCTCCATGAACGATTGATATTTGACAGTAACGAATTCTGCCCACCATATACACGATTACTTGTTCACCTGCCTCATTTGTTTTCATTAGGGGAGGTGGATGGAAAGGCAGGTGCAGCTACTGGCCGGCTGACCATACGTTACACTTTTTCAACAAGTCTATTTTAAAAGTTCTTTCATAATTTTCTAATGACTTTTGCTGTAAATTCAACCATATTCCATGAAATTATTTTTCAGCAACGGTTTGTAACCGACTTCTATGATTTTTATTGTTGCTTTATTATTTTACTCATAATCTTCTTTCGCTCGTTTTCTTGCACTGGCTTCGCGGTGTTTCGAAGATTGTAGCAAGATTTTCTGCATTTTTCATACTTTTCCAGTGAATGTGTTCATGGATCCAATGAGCTCTCCTTACGGCGTTCCATCGCCGTACGACCAACAAGTACCATCGACATCGTCAGCCACTTGTGCAATGGCTCGTCCTAACACTCCACAGACCCCATATGCGTAAGGAATTCATTCAACTTCTGTAGTGTTTTATATTTGTTTCGGAACCCGAGATCTTTGACAGATTTTTGAGCAGTTTTGAATTTCATTTTCAGGAAGTATATCATCTGGTCCTCTTCCTCTTCACTCTTAATTTCTGTTTTCGTCCTTCCACCTATGTAAGCCTTTTAGAAAAACAGAAATCTTAGTTTCACACTGATATGACAAGATGAGGTCGAAGGTAGTATAGACCGATATGCGTGGTACAAGTTTTATACAAATTTGATTGACCAAGTGTTTGCCTTATCCAAATCAGATTTTCTAGTTCCCATCATACGTACTTGACTCCTCCCACTAATTCCAGTATTATTATTCAATTTTCTGTCATTTTTGGCAGCGGCTGATCTCTATCATGGCAAATATGTCCTAGTACGATTTTTATTTTTTTTTGAATTTCATTATTTTATGGCCGTCTATTTTTATCCTAAATTATTTCTATACTCTCCAGGACTGAATCTTCGATTATTGTAATGCTGCTCTGTGGGAGGTGCATTAACTCACACAGGTGCAGTGTTTTCGTTCACCTGAAAAACATCTGTCGCGGTAATTGTCTGTTTGAGGATAATCCGTGGAAAAAAATCCTATTGCAAATGTAACGGCCATGATTATTGTAACAGTGCAAGTTCTGCAAGGTTTGCAAATTGCACTTGTGTCATAAATGCAATGGGTAGTTTTTCACAAGGAGAAGTAATAGATTCAGTTATCGAAGATTGAGCCAATAGTGGACAATCAATTGTTTTACATTTTCTGAAATTGCACATAATATCGTAAAAAATATTCTCGTTTAGTACAGAATATTTGATGATTAACATAGCTGTCTCCGAGGTGCCGGCTGCATTGGCGAGAAAAATCACCATGCTTAAAATCTCAATTGGTGCAAAACTCCGAAAAAAGCACTCCTCAAATACGCGCTCCATTGCCATTCTTCACGTTTAAATGTTAGCTACGAAATGCTCCTAGAAATATCAAGCGTGATTTCCTCCAGGAAGTTGTGTTTAAATGTGTGTTTGAGGTAGTGAACCAACATTTTTTGCCCTAATTTAGGGCATCATGTTATTGGACCTATATTTCCGATAACATATTAGCTCGAACCGAAAGCTCGTTCATACCTATTTTAAGAAGTCGTTAATTTTTTCTTTCTCAGAATTATTGCTATTAATGAATGCTCATAGAAAGAGTAGTTTCGTACATGAAAGTATCTTGTAAGCGCTCAAGTTCTGACTGCAGAGATAAAATCAAGGGTATCATTATTGATGATATCATTCAAGAAGGTGATTTTAACAATAAGCCAGGCTATAAAATTCTAAAAACCAGCTAGAAAATGCAAACTATAATAGTTGGTAAATAGGTTCCAGGATCTCCTTCTTCTAACTGCACAAAGTCGGTGCCGATCGCTTTTTCACAAAAATTTGTTTTTTCGAAAAAAAATGTCAAAAAGTCAATTCCCGTTTTCTGCTGTCTTTGCTGGTCCACTGGCTGTTTTCATTATTATGGCTTCTATCCCGTCGAAGGCCCGGATCAACATCAGTTGTGTATCGCCCAATTTTGCATGAATAGAGCACTGAATGGCATCGAAAAGAATTGGAGAGTTTGCAGAAAGGCTTTTGGTTGTCAACAATGTAGTTTGATTGTGTTTCTCACTGCTGAGTTCATCTAGTTGCTTCTCAATGGACATTCAGAGTTAGGACGTTGGGTTTGATGGAATGGCGCAGAGAATCTAGTTGTGATTATTTTTTAAATAGAATGCCATTTAAAAAATTTGGAAAATTGCATAAGGGCTTCTGTATCTTTTCTCTCTTACTATTCAGAACAAATTGTATTGCATCTAGAAAGAATTTGCCTCTCGTTTTTTTTTGGTTATTATCAGACTTAAGATTTTCGAAGCTCGAGATATCGCATCGTAAAGTTTATAACTCTGCCATTTTGCCGCATATGTCAAGGTTATAGCACAAGTTGGCAAAGATCCAACTGTATAACTTTTTTTTTGATTTGTGCGGTACATGATATACTATTTGCAAGAAAAAGGTAATGGGACATGAATGAAATACAATAAATTTTCAAATAATATGAGCTATAAAGTTGTGACTAGACTTTCGGTATTATCGATTATCGATTACTGATTATTATGGATTATTAATTATCAATTACTTTTCTCGATTTTATCGATTTTTTGCAAAGTTCGACCTACGGGGCTGGGAGTTGGGTTCTCATTTTTTGAAATTAATTTCCTGTTTTTAGATAGGAATACAGCTGGACACGAAGATAAGTACTATTAAACTTGAATGGATTTGAAAAGTATAATGCATTTTTAAACGGACCGTCTACAATGATGTAGACTTTTTTAACCTACGTATATAAAAAATGAATACCTATTTCAATGTGGCACAAGCCATAATTTCGACCAACTTGTTGATTTTCAAAAAAAAAACTCATCACTACATCACCATTATCAATTTCAATCAACTAACTTACTCGTTTATAGGTAAGATTGGAACACGCGAACGGCTCGAAAGTGTTTTTCGCTCTCACTCTAGATGAAAATATACACAATCAGTGGTTTTCTTCTAGTAGAAAACTTGCTATGTAGAGTCTATTTTTACTGTGTCGTTGACTTTAAAAGAATTTATATTGACCAATTATGAGCAACGGAGGCTTTTTCCAGAATTTTCTGATTGCTGCAACGAGCTTACCTGCCTTTGAAAGATGATATGCTTGCGATGGTCGGAAAAATAGATTTTCTAATGTTTCTCGAGTTTTTCAAGAATTTGTAATAGTCTGAACTCAAATTTGCGAAACTCTTTTGCATATCAATCCGATCACACTAGTCTCATAGCGTATAGTAATGTAGTGTTCTAAAACTTACGCAAGTAAAAAAGAGTCTCATTCCTTCCGTGAATGGTTTGCTTGATATGTGAAATTGTGCAGGTAAGTGCCTAAAGGCAGCGTCCAGGCAAGATCCATCCACCCAGATTATCACATAATTGTAAAGAGGGCCCCATGAGTGTCCGAACTGCGTTGGTCCAATCCTTTGACGTGCCCTCTAAACGGAGATACGGGCCTGTGATACGTATCACAAACCACCCCTTCGTATCACAAACCACCCCTGAGGACGAGTGCTCACGCAGGGTGCGGTTGCATTGCAGTTGCCTTGCAGTTGCACTGCACACTGCAATGCAACTGCATCCGTGCAGTTGCAGCTCCTCCTGCTGGCATGACGATGGGGACGAGCAATTCGAAACTCGTCTACCTTTTAAAGAGAGGTCCCCAAAACCTTATTTTTTGGGAGTTTTGAACAATTTCGACTTTACAGCTGTAATCAGGGCCACGGAAAGGCCCCAGAATGGCAGAAACATGAGAGGCGAAATTTTGCCCGGACGCTGCCTTTAAAGGCAGCGTACACCCAAAATTTCCTTTGATATTTTGTCATTCTGGGGCATTTCCGTGCTCCTGATTACAGTTATGACATTAAAATTCTCCAAACTTCCCAAAAAAACCCCGAGTTTCGAACTGCTCTCACCGTCGGTATGCCAGCAGCTGCAACAGCATGACAACCTGCAGTTGCAACTGCAGCTGCTGCGTATGCTGTCGTGATTCGTCGTCCGAAAGAGGCGTACTGCAAAAAGCAACTACACTGTTGCAACAGCAGTTGCAATTGCAAGCAACTGCAACTACAGCTTACGCTGTCGTGCATTCGTCCGAAGGAGGCGGAGTGAAAGAAAAGGGGCGAAGTGAAAGAAAAATCAGGCGGGTTTTCTTCGCTCAGAAGCAACATTGGAAGACCGGACCAACGCAGTTGGTCTTCTTCTGGGTCCTGTATATACAATATAGAGAACTGGGTAACTTAACTTTTGGGTGTACGCTGCCTTTAAATATTCATGAAATGATGCTCTAAACATATAAGAAAATAGCTTAGTGAAAGTCTCTTTAAAGGGCATGTGCTTTTTTTGATATTTCAAGGTCAAGGTCGCGAAAAGTTCAGAGGTGCTCCAAAGAAGATTTTAATTCCCCACGATGGTTCTGCTATTGTCACGTTTATAAGAACGCTTCAGAATTATAGTTGTTCTCTCACTTTTCACTTGGTCTAGCCAAAGTATATAAATATGATTTACAGACGATCCGCGTACAATTCCGCGCATGCGTCACCGTTCCGTCCGGCAAACGCTGCTGACGCGGTGCGCTTACGTGAAACTTGTGCTCGAAATGCGCAGACGGCACAATGGATGGACAGTCAGTACCTGGCCGGTGTATCGGGGTATCATGGCAGTGGGGTAAGTATAGCTTCAATTTTTAGTTTGCCTACACCACCTTTCGCCTCGAAAAAATCCTTTTAGGCGCAATCCGGTCCATGCTCAGTGATGTCGGCGGCAAGTGGCGGTATGTCGGTGATGTCGGGAATGTCACAGATGTCTTTGGGAAACATGAGTCAGCTCAGTATCTGTACACAGCTGACTGAAGCCCACTATGCACAAGTGAGGTTTAGAAATTTAAGGATTTCCGTGCACTTCTGGGTACTGGGCTTCCAGTTTGGAAGTTGTCCTGCGGTAACCCATGCCCAGAAGGTAGCTCATATGATTTATTGGTGTTCGGGAAACTCGACTTTGAACATTAGCCCAGACCGTAATCGAGGACGTTGCGGATCCGCAAAAAGTACGGTCTGGCCGAGAGTTTGGATATGATTGTCTCGGTCACGTATGGATCTTTCTAGTATTTCACATGAACTGTCGCTTTAGCCGTGCCTTATTAGTTGAGCCTCTCACTCTTACCACATGAGAAATTCAGGGCTCTCTATTAACTCTGATAGTACCTTCAAGATAATGTGCACATTGAGAGCTTTTAGGTTCCCCATTACCAACCCACATCGGGAGCATCAAGTGTGGAAAACATCGATCCCAGCAACATCTATGAAATTAACCGACAAGTGAACACCCTGATTGTGAGCTTAAGGCACGATGACCCGGTAAGTATAGGCGTTACATCATATAAGGATAGATCTCAATTTTATGAATTCTCAGGAAGTAAGGCGAAAAGCGGCGAACTCGGTTCAAGGCATGGCTCGACAGCGATTATTGGCAATGGTGACGAACCAGGCTACACTGCGAGAACTGATTTGTTATTTTCTGCAGTTTGTTCTGGAACATACTATAGAACAAGTGAGTTTTTTTATTATCAGCTCACTAATTTTTGTGCAAATATTCAAAGCGATTTTTAATCTTTCTATTTCCTAGAAACTTTACTTTGGAGGCTATCTTTCATTTGACGCAAAAAATTTAAACTTCGCTGTCATTCACCCAACTGATCTCCACTTTCGGTGTGATTGAGATGTTCTTTGAGTTTTCATTCTTTCAGAACATCACCCAGCTAATGCAGTCGATTTTCAACATCCTCAACTGTCGCACATGTTTTGTTGTGATGCAAGATCGATACATTCAGCAGATTCTAGTTCATATCATAGCCAAATATCTAATGTAAGTGATAGAGATCCAATTTGTTAATGTTCTAACTGACCCTGCCATTTCAGGCCTGATCATCCCTTCACTGCATGGACCGTCATAGCATTCACTGCCATTTTGCGGAAGAAAGATTTGAGAGCTTTTCGGAGAATGTGCAGGTGGGTACGGTCAAGAAATTATTTTCCTACAGTGTTTTTGTATTTTGCGGCATACTGTAATTCTCTAGAGGCACGCAAAAGTTACTTGACATCAAAATTTTTTCAAAGCTCGCAAGCGGGCTCTAATCTTTACAAACTTACAAGAATGACAGTAGAGGAGCCCTTTTCGAATTTGTATTTACCCCTTTTATGGTTGAATTTTTCTCTTCTGAGCTTTATGTTTTTCAGAAACGAGTACTTTGTGCGACAGCTTATGATCATTCTTGGTTCCAACTCATCATCCCACAAATCGCTCATAATCGATTCTATTCGCATGCTTATCACTAGGAACTTACCTTTAAAGGTATGGAAGTTTAGATTGCCATTCCACATGCTTTCCCTTGAGCTTCTCAAAGATTATTTTTTCAGGATTTCTTTGTGAGGAGTAAAGGCATGGAGAAGCTCCTTGAATTCATGACCAGCGAACATGAGGAAAAAGTGCTACGATCGAGTGCCACTACATTGCTGACGCTGATTTCTACAGAATCAGCCAAATATGGGATCGAGTTTGTGAGACTGGAAGGGGTTCAAGTACGTTGTTGCTTAGAAACTCTCACTTGGAAGCTTCCATGTTTGTTCTAGATTTTTGGAAACCTTTTATCACATGGGTCAACTATGCTTCTTCACGAATTATTGCATTGTTTGGCTGCTGTGGGTGATCTGAAAGAAGCGTTGGAAACACAGGTATGGCAAGATGACAAAAATAGCCTGAAACAACAATACCTGAACATATGAATATAAAAAGCACGAAAATTTGAAAAATAGCGAGCTATGTAGAGTTAATTTTCAACTTTCCAAGTTATTTCATCTCATTTTAGGACATCACGAGTACAATCATCTCGGTTCTACAGCTCATGGGTGCGCATGATCCGATCCTAGTCAACCATGGAACTGCCTTCTTATTGAATGTTTCTGCAAATAACGTTCGAAATAAGGTGATTTTTTTGTCAACTCGAAGCTTGATAGACTCAAAACTCATTTTTTGCCCAACTTTTTCCATTCCTTTTCCTATAATTTCAATTTGAATATGTGTTTTTTTTTCAGGCAACCATGGTAGCCGAGCGTGCTCCGGACACTTTGCTCAGTGTACTCAATCATCGAAACAATTATCTTACCATTCCTCTACCAAATGTTCGACAGCTGATCGTGTCCATAACTGATAACGTTCTCATCTGTCTCGCCAATCTCACTAGGAATCAGGACGAGTGTGGAAGGAATGCGTGTATTCAGGTATGGAGGTTGAAAAAAGAATTTTTGGACGTGAAAAAAAAAAGAAAATCATGTGCGGGAAAGAAAAATTGTTTTTAAAAATTTTTTTACATTTTAAAATGTGTATACTCCCAGTTGCATGTTTCGCACAATTGAGTCTATAGTATCATTATCATGGTAATCATTTACATAAGGTACTCGAGAAACCATATCACTTCAATTTTCAGATCGCCAGAAAATCCGACTCAGCAAAAACTCTGCTGAACGTGCTAGCAAGCGGAAGTGTAGAATGCCAAATTCGAGCATTAATGGTCATTTTTAAGTAAGTTTTTGAGCTTTTTATGCTTACGTCATCAATGACGAATACGATTCTATCTCAACTTTCAGTACGTGTCTTTGTGTATCCGAATACAAGCTGTTCTTCGTTGACACTGTAGACGACTATAATCAGTCAAATCTCGTCACATTTGTACTTCGCATTCTATGGAACAACTTTGCTCAATTTGTCAGTTGACATTATTTTCGTTTGTTTCATTTCCGGTTGGTTGTGGTCCTTGCTTATCAGAAAATTTTTTTCAGAATAATTTTTCGGACGCGGAAAGGACTCACCGTCGGAAACAAATCGACAGAGTTCTACGATTACTGGCTACACTTTCCAAAAGCGAAGAACTCCTAGAACAGATTGCAACAATCTTCAGGTCATTTTCAATTTGGTCTAAAAACCAAAGTCTAATCAATACATATTATTTTTAGAGAGCACAATCCGCTACCACTACTGCGACCGTTTCGCAACAACGACTTCAGTGCGCATAGAGATTTTCTAGAGTTTTTAGATGCAATGACCAGTGATCCGAAAAGGTAATATTTCAGTTTCTGGAAAGGATTACCTTTCTTAATAATGTACTTTAGATTTCCACTCGTTCATAAATGGCTGTCTACCGCAGATTCTCAACAGATCATGCACTACTACTGCCAGTTTCAAGTCGATCCTAAACTAAGTAAGTTCAAGTGCTAAGTCTCCTCAGTATCCTTTCAAGTACTATTCTAAGTTCTTGGTTACCCAATCTCTCAGTCAGGGGAAACCTTGGTAAAAAGAGGGTAATGAAAAGGAGTTATTAATTATTTGATAAATACAGTAGTTCCCTCTCAACACTTTTCCCTTTCTTTGCTCAAAAAGCTTGCGCAAAAATCGCGCTGCACTTACATATGTCTATTTATTTTATCTCTAAACAAGGGGAGAAAGTCTGAAATAAAAAAAAAGTTCAAGATTACCCGGTTTCACTTCTTAAAAAAATTGATTTCGTTTTTCTTGAAATTTCGAGGTTTGAAATATAAAGATATAGGAATTATATTTGTTTACTTTTGACGTGCGAAAATAGGAAATAAGTGCTTTCTTTGACTGTAAAACACCAACACGACATGGATTTCGTGGTTAGGGCTGAAAAAAAGCAATTGGAAGAAGCTGCTGGCAATCATTATGATACGAAAGTAACTACATTTTGTATTTTCAATGGTTTTTTCCATTCTTTTGTCATAAATGTTTTTTGCAGTGACCCATGCTCGAAACATTGCCAGTCGCCTGCATCAGCCGCCGAAAGTTGAGGATATGCAGACATAATCCAAAGTACAACATTGTGTTTTCTAGTATATCTCAGTCTTTTTGTGTAGAATCCCTTCTTGTTCCCTACTTGCTCCATCTGTTGGCTATTAATCGAAGGTACAATTTTGTCTCAAGCTTTACGGGTGCACTTTCGACTCACTTTTCTGTCTTCTGTTTTTTCTCTTACGTTTTGTACATATATTCAGTATTCCAAGTTCATTCCATGTTATGTTTTCACTATCCACTTGGTCAGGTTGCCTTGCTCAGAGCACCGCGGTATCTCGAATTCTTTGAAATCCAGCACAGCTCCGCAAGCGGGTAATATACCGGCATAACACTTTACAGATTCCTCTCTTTATCAGCATCATGTCAAGAAGCCTGTGATCTTACAACTATTTCTGTTAGGTTGTATTGAATAAATAATACAGAGTTTGTCAAAGCTTAGGTATATGCATAGTTGCGACAAATGCAGCCGTCATAAACGCAAAATAAGCGCTGATTTGTCGCTGTGCAATTGCACAAATTACAGTTTCAAATATTGAGAACATTGACTAAAAAATCCGAGCCTGTGCCAATCGCATATTCCCTTTTCTCGTCGTCGCCATCGTCACGCCAAAGTCTGCGCTGCACACGCGTTGCGCTAATATTGGCCTCATCAGTTGAAGGTCTGCACACGAGACTGTCGCGTTGCGGATCTTTGAGCAAAAAAGAAGCTGTGATTAAAACAGACTGTAGTACGCTCGTAAATGTGGAGATGTATCAAAGAATAATTACAACTATTATACAAACACAGAAAAACGGTGTCTTTTTTGATTGATGTAGTTGAAGAATTGAAAACATAAGTGTTTTGCTATGCTTATAGGCAATATCGAGCATGTAAAAGAAATGTTGAATCCATCTGAAATGCGGATTGACATCAGAACCACCCGATCACAGTTTTTAGCATGGATTACACACGATTCCCGCTTCACATGTGGCTGCTTTCTCGAACGATGCCGATTTTGGTAATTGAGTCAAAGCTTGTAGCAGAATGGTACAGTCTTATTGAATGCTTCTAATCGCATGGCTGGTGTCAAAGTCACACACGACAATCACTGGACTGTTGGAAAAGTTCGCCATCCTCATACTACCGTATAAGCAAGTCACGGATGTTGGTCTCCTTTTAGCGTACAGACGGCGTCACTACATAGCTGCAAATCTGGTGATTTTGGACGCTAAAATTAGAGAGGTTACTTGCTTAAAATAAGTTCCGGGTATGTGAGGTAGCAGATGTCGGCGTGTCTGCCAAAGAAGAACAGTATAGCTGAGATTCCATCTAAGCTTTTGCAAGTGCTGCTGGTATAACGTCTGAAAAAAGTGCGTTTCGAGATCCTCACAGTATGTTATTAGTGTTCTTCTTTGGAGTATTATTCTGTGGAGAACTTCTTGAACAACTCAGTTGTTTTATCTATTTTTTTCGGTTGACCACACATTACACTGTTAAAGAGCGATTGAGAGAAAACCGCGCAACAAAGCCATCCGAATGCCATCGGATCTCTGCGTCTTGGTAAAAATGTTTAACACCTTAGCAGTCTTCAAAATCATTCAGTCTGAGCCTGAAAAAGAGACTAATGCTGCAGAGTAGCACTAAAACATATCTACGTAAAGTGTTAGTATGATGAATGATCAGTCTACAAGCTTCCACAAAAAAAAAATGTGGAGCAACAGAGAACACTCATGAATACTAAACATTCTGCCCCATCTGACTGTTTTAATCTTGAAAAAGCAAGGGATCAAAGATTATGGTCCCGTACAATCAAATGTTCACTGTCCCATTCACGCCAACCACCCTGCGGACCTCTCTCCTGGATGGAAGAAGATTGAATGGTTGATGTACTTCTCGCTATACAGCTATGTGGTACGCACCACATAGCCGGCACACCTGAGAAGCAAAAGTACACCTTGTTTACCACAAGTATCAAGCTGTGCTTCGTATCTTGCAAGGGTGCGCGAAAGATGAAAGTTGCAAAAAAATGCCAGTTTTGTAAGCCCTGCCTTCCATAGAAGTGAACTGCTGCTCATATCGCGCTCATAGCATATGATAAAGCACTTTCATAGATTTTTGGGATTCAGAGTGAGCAGAAAAGCGGAAAATTTGTTCTTTTACACACTGTAAGTCACCGTAATTCTACAATGAGGCGTTGTTACAGCAAACGAACATGATATTCATAATCAGCATGCTCAAAAACTCATCTGAGCACAATTTTGAGCAACTTTGGAATTCTCACGCATTTACCTTATATTCATCGTAACCCAACATTTGCGCTACTACCGTATGACTGGATATGATAATCGTTTTCAGCATGTCAAATAGCCCTTCTAGATGAAGTTTCGCGCAAATTTCGCGTGCTTTTGACTTTCTACCATAATTCTGCTGTAACTCCACCAAATGGTATCTGTGCAAAATGTATGTAATATTGACCAAGGTGCGAAATAATTGTCTTAACGAAGCCTTAAAGAAAATCACGATTTTCATTTTTCGAGTAAACATGTGGAACAGCATATAAGAATGAATGAGTTTGAAATTAGCATTTGATTATGCTTGTTGTAAATAAAAACAACAGCGCGCGATTTTCTTCAGGGGCGGTCGGTACATCGTAGTGGGCGGTCCGCACACAGCTTCAGTGATCTACACTGCGATTTCTTTTTGAAGGTAGTATTTGGAGACAAGATTTGCGCGTTTGTTCTAGTTCGAGGTGCTAGCACTTGATAATGATGGTATTCAGAAGTTCAAATCTGCTCGAGTGCTGTCAGTTATCCGCGTTTACGAATAAGTCGAAAGAGTACCTACAAAAACGCTGGTTACTATGATCCTAAACGATTACCTATCTGTTTGAGACGTGATCAGACGTTGAATGTACCATTCAACCAGACCACCCTGCGGAACTCAGCTCCTGGATGGAAACGCCAATAAATGGTTGATTTACTTCTCGACACACTGCTATGTGGTATGTACCACACAGACTTCAAACTCAAGAAGTGAAGTCGTTACTTTATCCGCTTGAAGTAGTGATATGTGCTTCGTATCCCACACGAGTACGCGCAAAAGACTGGACTTGAGAAAATGGTGACTATCAGCACGAATTCAGTTTAGCTGCCTTTTATTAGTTTCTAGATACTACTCGATTTGTAATATGTTTATAATCACTGCGGAATATTCGATACATGAATTTAGTTCTTGTATAGCCTATGGTGATGGCTTGACGACGTACAATGCTTTGCTATTTTTTACATTGATACTTCTTAAAATACCACTGGATGTTCTGTAATCTGTGCAAGTATACTGTACCCTACCCTTCATTTAAAAAAAATCAAGACAAAACTGCACGAATAACTCTTCAACTCGAACACGCATCTATTCGGCTGCAAAGGCTGTGATTTCGTGGTCAAAGTGATTTTTTCTTTCCCGAGAAGGAGTGGCATTGGCGTGTAATTCCAGTCATAGCTTTTGAATAGATATAGACCATATGATTCCTATATCATTTTCGCGCTGAGCAGATATGTTTTCCAATGAATGACGAAGAAGTAGAGGAAAACAGAGTAACACTGCTGATTGTGAGATGCTGCTGTGTGAGCAGTGTGAGCAGTAGAAAAGATTTGTATCCAAAACGCACCTGACATAGACCTAACCGCAGGCCTGCGCTCGAATTTTGGCCTTCAAAATTGGTGTACGCTATTTTTGTAAGCTCAAAATAATAAAAAGCATTATTTAGCAATATTCACATAAAAAGAAGTTTTTAAACTGTAGTCACGATTGTTTGCGAAGTCGCATTTTAATTCTTTCTAAAGCGGTGTGTTCGCCAATCAAAGTCTTACCCAAATGGTACCTTCCTTGAATTTTGCCACTAGTTAGCTGCTAACTAGTGAATACACCCTGCATTGTATGTTGCCTTGTGACTCACATAAGTGTTATGGTCAGAACCAGAAATAACTTCAAGACTTGGTGCAAATCACTTTTTGCAGGATGAAGTCCTCAATTAGCCTGCATACTAAAGTGCGGTTCATAATTATACGAACACCCAAAATTTTGTAAGTTTTTGGACTTTTTGGGAGAAACTCAAAAAGCCGTTGATACCACGCGATAGAACACAGCCGAAAACGGTATACGATCCATAAGAATGGAAATTGATGTCAATCTTAGGAGTGTTTTTGCGCTTAATGCGAATTTTTAGCGGTTCATAATTATACGAACACCTCAAACAAAGGTCCATTTTTCTTCAAGATTGTAATCATTTAAGTCCAAATTTTTTGTAGAGTTACAGTAACAAAGTCTGACATATCTGCTACACACTGAACCCAGCGCAGTTCAAAAAGAGGACCGTTGCTTTTTTCAGAAGGCTCTAAATGCTTTTGGAGTGACTGTGCTCCAAAAACATCCGTTCTTCTGTGGTTTACGCGCTTTAAATAGCTTTTACCAAAACTATGAGATAAAATAAGCTCTTTCGATAGGTATTTTGTTTGACGCTTGGAAAATCTTTGCGCTTTCGTGCCGTTTTTCAACCAAGTTCCAACCCTACCCTAGAGTTAGCACGATTTCGAGCCTCAAAACTCAGCTTCTGAAGCCGACAATGAAGTAAGCATATAGTATGTAGAAGTTCACAAGACTATATATTTGGCTAGAAAAAATCAGCAGCGTTGAGCGTTTGTTTTGGCCACGCAGACGTCATTTCACCAAAAACACTGTTTTTACTATTGCAGTCACACCTTTATTTGGTTTGTAGCTCCACAGCCTCAAGATCAGTTCTACAAAAAACCCAAAAGCTTTGGCACAGAAACATCATCATGCAAACAATGCAGCTGCTTCATCTTAAATGTTTGCACAAGAGAGAAGCTGAGTATTGAGGCTCGAAATCGTGCTAACTCTGTGGTAAGGTTGGAACTTGGTTGGAAAACGGCACGAAAACGCAAAGATTTTCCAAGCGTCAAACAAAATACCTATCGAAAGAGCTTATTCTATCTCATAGCTTTGGTAAAAGCTATTTAGAGCGCGTAAACCACAGAAGAACGGATGTTTTTGGAGCACAATCACTCCAAAAGCATTTAGAGAATTCTGGAAAAAGCAACGGCCCTCTTTTTGAGCTGCACTGGGTTCAGTGTGTAGCAGATATGTTAGGCTTTGTCACTGTAACTCTACAAAAAATTTGGACTCAGATGATTGCAATCTTGAATGGAAAATGGACCTTTGTTTGAGGTGTTCGTATAATTATGAACCGCTAAAAATTCGCATTAATCGCAAAAACACTCCTAAGATTGACATCAGTTTCCCT